ATCAACATCAACAGGAAAACATTAACAGCAATATCAATATGTGGCATTCCATTAGTCGCAAGTGACATTCATCAACACAGTGCAGATTGCTGGTTCCCCTTGTTCCCGATTTGCAGCCCCCAGGCCCTGCCAGTGCTTCTCATTCTTGACTTGCAGCCTTCTAGCCCTGCCAGTGCCCCTCAATTCCAAGCCACTGCCCCCCACTGCCTACAGGCCCGCCAGTGCCCCTCAGTCCCAACCTGCAGCCCCCTGCCCCTCCCCCCAGTCTTGCTGGAGGGGCCCTCCAGCTGCCCCCATCCCGCACAGTGGTTGTGGTGGCTCTGGCTCATGTGAGTGGTAGTGGAGTGAGTCTGGCCTCAGCATAGACTGGAAGAGGAGGCACCCCTTGCCCTGGACTGGGGCTCCTTCACCGTGCCAGATGGTCTCACCATACCCCTCATGGGCAGTGTCTCCTAGCCATCCCACTCCTGTGAGCACACCAGCTCTGGTACCACTGGCTGGGCCACAAAGCTCCCTGATGCCCCTGAAGGGTCCCCCTGCCCCCTTCTCTAGGTGGAGGGGCACGTGCCTCCCTCCTGCCCTCCCACCCCGGCCTGCCGCAGCTCCAGCCCCAGTGCCGACACATTCCTTCAGCACTGGCAGGCAACTGCCCACCACATGTCTCCCAGGCATTCTCTAAGCCCTGGCCCTCCAACCCCTGCTCCCGATAGACTTACCTGCATCCAGCTGCCAGGGCTACTCCCACCATCCTGCCTGGCTGTATGCTGGCTACATAAGTGTACATGCACAGATGCATATGGTGTCCCCTGTCTCCAGTCACCCCAAGCAGCTCCTTGCTGGCTGGAAGGCTGCCAGCCTGCAAGGAGAAACCTGTGGTTTCCCGCATTTTTTCTGTGACTGTTTGAGACCCTTTCAAATATTCTTGTGATCCACTTTTGAGTTATGACCCACAGGCTGAGAAACACAGGCCCAGAAGGCAGGAAGAGAAGTGGATTTGTCATACAGTTTTGTGTGGGGGTTCGAACTCTGGCATAGCCTTACAAAGAGTGCGTATAAAGTGACTTTCCATTCTAAAACTGTACAGTATTTCCAAAGACATTATAGAACATTTAGAGAAAGAATAAGAATTAAATGTCTTGCCCTTTTTGGGATAATACCAAGTTCTGGCAAGATCCATTAGTAACTGTGGTGGCATCAAACAGTGTATGCTGATGCACTGATAAAGCAGGAATGCGAAGCCATGACTTCACGCGCCCAACCATGGTTTATTGCTGAATGTCCTGCCTACCCTTGCTGTGGGGCATTTGATAAACAACTCTAGCTGGCTAACTTTTGATGCATATTTCCAGATCACCTCTTGGGGCTTGTCGGTTCCACTTCTGTGGCT